CTCCATAGCAGAGGTGCTTCAGCCCTCGGATCATCTTCGTGGCCTCCTCTGGACCCGCTCCAGCAGCTTCATGTCCTTCTTGTGTTGGGGACTCCAGAGCTGAACACAGTATTCCAGGTGGGGTCTCACCTGAGCAGAGCAGAGGGGCAGAATCCCCTCCTTCACCCTGCTGCCCACGCTGCTTTGGATGCAGCCCAGGACACGGTTGGCTTTCTGGGCTGCCAGCGCACATTGCCGGCTCATGTTTTGCTCCTCATCCACCAGCACTCCCAAGTCCTTCTCCTCAGGGCTGCTCTCAATAGGCTCCCCTTGATCAGGCGGCCCGTTGTAGACACCAGACCAGCCACAAGGTTCCCTGTATTGCCTCAGTCTCTAATTCTTGCTCATAAGCTTTCAACCTGCTCATGACTACTCTTCAGAGACAGCTCTTCACACTCCATTCATTTCTTGACATAGAGGGCAATACCTCCACCCCTCCTTCCTCACCTGTTCCTTCTGAACAGCCTGTAGCCATCCATAACCGCACGACGGTCATGTGATTCGTCCCACCAAGGTTCAGTAATGGCAGCTAGGTTGTAGCTTTCCAGCAGCACAGTGGCTTTCAGCTCCTCCTGTTTGTTGCCCATGCTGCATGCATTGGTGTAGACACACTTCAGTTGTTGGCTGTGTCACCTCCTTAGAGGAACACCCCTTAATTTCTTTAAGGTATCTCACTGGTGCTTCCCTGTTGGCTCCTACCACCTCAGGAGCCCCTGGCTCATCTCCGTAAGACTTCAAGTGTCCTCCAGTGTTGCCAGCATGTCTCAGAGAAATAAGCTGAAGGCCCTCGCTAGCACTCCATCCCTCTAACCTTGGCGTATCATCCCACAGCTTGTCAAAGGCAAACCTGATATTATCCCTCTCCCCCTTCAAGTCTCGTTTAAAGCCCTGTCAATGAGCCCCACTAGCTCCTGAGCAAAGACCCTTTAAGAAAGGTGAATCCCATCTGGCGCCACGTAGACCATCCCATTACCAAAAACCCCAAAATTGTGGTGGTGACACCAGCCACGGAGCCATGTGTTAACAGACTGGGCACATCTATTTTTTCCAGTGCTGCTGCCCACAGCTGGAAGGAGAGAGGAAAAAATAACCTGTGCTCCATATTCCCTTACCAACCATCTCACAGCCCTGAAGTCTCTTTGGATAGCACTCGGACTACACGTTGCAGCTTCATCGCCATCCACATGGAAGAGCAGTGCTGGGTAACAGCACAAGGGCTGCACCAGGCAAGGAAGTTTCCTAGAGACAGCCCTGACATTTATTTTTTATTTGTTTTAATTTAAGGTACTGCAATTTATTTTCTCCAGAACTGCTTATGTTATGCTCACCTCTCTTGGCTCTGGTTAGAATTTCATGAAACAGAATGAAAAAAATCTCATTCTCTGAGCTCTAACTTCTCTGAATATAAATGTCTCATTTCCTGCTCGGATACGCTATTTAGTGATGTTCAGAATGACTTTTTTATTATTTCCTCAGTCTTAAAAATACATACTTAAAGTATGTATCTACAAAGAATTAGTAATAAGAGGCTGGAACTCTAACAAATGTAGGGGCTTTTTTTCTTTTAAAAGCTTTCTTTTAAGAAGAAATATTTTTAAGCACAACTGACAAGAAAAGCTCATGGCCAAAGCAAACTAAATACGATGTTCGGTCTCAGGGACTATGGTCCATTGTTCTGATACAGAACAGTCCTCAAGGCTTATGCAAAGCTAATACTAACATTTCTCCCTGAAGATGACAAAAAGCAAGCTATAAATTATCTCACAGAAATGATACCTCACAAAAACAAAAGCGTTTATCCTCAAACGAGTCATACAAGCAGCCAATAGTAAAACGTTCAAACGTTAGCTTAGGGAACATGCTTTCCAATCTGTAGCTAAGGGAAGATATCAAGTAGAGGCAACCAAAAAAAAGAAAAAAGAAAAAAGCTAGAAAAAATAGAGGAAGACTTTTATACACATGCATGATAAAACAAAATAAATGTATATACTGAAAAACATGACTTGGTGTCCTATGCAGATGCCAAGTAATATTCCAATGATGAGAAACACCACCGATTCACCAGCAATCTGAGAAACTACAAATGATGGACAAACTAGGGTGCCACAACTCATACCAGTCCAACGATGACATGGAATACGCAGCACAACAGAAAACAGTGTGAGCAAAAGAAGTGAGTCCAAACACCATACTAACTAAGCATGCAAAAAACACTGATCAAAAACCTAAACCTTCTCCAAACGACAACCCTGTCAGAAGCCCATCAATACTTCATAACTGCAAGTCTAGACCTGCAAGAGAAATAAATACGATTTGAACAACTGAAATGTGTGTGTATTCAATGGAGCCACTAGGAACTAGTCTTCAGGAGATGGCAGATAAACTGATTTTGAACAGCAATTCTGCACTTACTTAGCATCTCCATTCTCGTATATGGTAGGTATTATCGAGGCAAGCAGCTTTTGAACAGGGTACCTCAAGCAGAAGGGTTGTGTGTACATAGCACAAGACAGATTTACACAAGCTAGTAGTGGAGGAAACTCCACACTGCTTATCATTAGGACAAAGATCCTCTAAGCCCTGGGTCTGCTGGATAAACAGCCAGCAGAGCTACTTCCTAAGGAATTAGTATCTTCCAAAAGAGTTGCCCATGCAAGGACTTTCACTATTCTAAAAGGCAAGACTGAAGTGCTTCTTTAAGCACCTTAAAATTTCCTTTTTTCAATTCCAACAGCACTGCATTGTGCTCAAACTATCCATACAGTTTCCTGCCTGGGAAATTGCGTCCTGTACACCTTTCTTCTTCCTTCCCTCAAGAAAGATGCGGTGAAGGGACAACAGGGAATAGTTGTGTTCCTTGTTCCTCGCACCACTGTTCTGCCTCCAAGCATTCACCGGGCAGCAGACTAGTTTTAGAAAGAGCTTGTCTGTGTAAAGTTTTAACTTGCTTTTATTCCACCAAATAAACCCTCCACGCTATATGAAAATGCCAGTCTTGTTCGACTGCTTGATAATACCTTAAGCCAAGGAAAGATCATAGACTAAAGCTGGATGAGTAACATCAGAAAATGCCTACCTAGAATTCTCACAGCTGAAGCACAACTGGACAGCTTTCTGTCTGAGCTTGAGAGAAACCTCTGGCTTCCTTACCTTCCTCTGCTTTGGGGGTTTCAACTCTCTTGTATCTTGAAATAAAACCAAGATTCATAAGGATCGGATTTTTAATCTAAAGGGGCTATCTTATGATATTAGCCATTGAAAAGTTCATAGTATTTGGGGAAATTTAATTAATAACTACTGATTAATTAAAGTAGAAGCTGATTAAATGCTTAAAGTAAGCGAATATTTTGAAAGGAAACAAGAACTGACACAAATACTTTTGTTCATGTATTTGCATATTCACATCGCACCCTTAAAATCTGAACTCCTAACAATGGTTCCTGATGTATATAAATTTGTTATTAAAATATTTGATATTTTAATACCACATATGTTTCACCTGTTAGTGTTTGCTATCGAATCACAAGTTTAATCTGAGTACAGATGAAGCTGAAAACATTCTAAAGAAAAACAAATTCTGATATCACCGTGACCAGCAGAACAGAAAAAACAAGTGCAACGTCTGCTACCTTTTAAGCACTAGTCATGGATGAATAACTACAGCAGTGGAAGTCAGCAGTTTTTTTCTTTATTAATTTTGGCAATACAGACATTCTGATAAAATGAAAGAAACATTAAAAGTGGAAAAAGAAGAAAAAGGAATTCATACCTGGCATGTTCCTGAACTGCAACAATTTCTACTTCGCTATCAGAAGAGGTGATATTAATTTCTTCATTGACCTGGGCATTACCAGGAGAGGTTTTGTCACTTGCAAGGAAGCCTGGATCCAAATGACCTATAGATGGGGAAAATGCAAATACAGCCAACGTTTAACAGCTTACACCACTCAGGAATCAGCTGGAAAAGGAATTTCCCGAGCTAGCAAAAAAACCCAAACAACCCTGAAACACTGAGATTGGAAAATCTTATTAGATCAAGTTACCCAACTGCCAGTTCATCACCTGATACAGGATGACCACTGGATTTATCCAGTCTCAATGGCTCTACTGATGGTGTTATCACACAAATGTGAACAAAGTCAGACTATTGCATCAAGAACGCTGGATGCAATTAGGCATTCGGTTGTTATTTTACAACAATGCTGAGAGTTAGACTGTGCCCAAACCTCTTTGAAACAAAGAAATACAACAATCTATCGTCAAGACATCAAACTCAATGATGCTATGGCCAACAAAGCCCATAGGCTGGACAGAAACATCACACACACCAAGAAAAAGGAATTTTTATTTTTTTTTTTAAATAGGATAAGGGAGTAAATGAAAAAAACCCAACAAACCCATGAGTTTCTGGTTGCACGACTTCACACATCTGCTCTAACATTATTACAAATACTTGAAAAAAAAATCTTTTTTTCAGAAGTCACATATACAGCAGTGTTGGTTTTCCATTACAGTTCCTCAATGATTACAATCCTCAGTCTGTCAAACAAGTCCTTTCTAAATACGACGAGCGTGGCAGGTTTTGTGTTTTCTGCCAAGTACTCCTAAGAAGGTTCTTCACTACAATTAGTGAAGCTGTGTTGTGACCTATTAAATACTTGCATAGAAAACACAAACCAGCCAAAATTATTATTTGTTTTACAGAAAATAAACAATTTTTAAAAATCAATTAAAAATAGGATTTCAATAAAAAGAAATAAATTCTACTTTTTTTTTTTTTCTTCCTAAAATAATGATTACTTCTACTGTCCCTCTTCAGCAGTAATCTGAGGGATGCTGGGCAGCCCTGAAGCAGATGACACTACCTACTTCTTGGAAACCACCCACTCAGCTGTATGACACAGAGGAAGAACCGTTTGTCTAGCAGGAAATCTGAGCTTAGATGAATATATTGTGTATCTCTAGTCTGACTGGACATCTCTTCATAGATGAGGAGGATACAATAATGATCCACCAAATTTCAAAGGTGTGCGAACATGCAGAACTGACTATAGCCCCAGGTAGATCAAGAGCACACAGAGAGAAGAAATTAAAACAAACGCCAGGGAAACCTTCTAATGACTGCTTAAAGTACTTTGAAAAGATGGAAGCAAAGAGGGGAAGAGACCATACTGCATGCTCAGTTTTTGGAAAGTGAAGACCCTTGGTGCAACATCTGATCAGGTTTAGCAAGAGAAGGAAAACTATGCACTACCATATACCCAAAGGAGGAGTTTCCACCCCACAAGACAAAGAATTGTCAGCTGAACTTAAAACGAATTCATAGCCCAGGCAGACTTTTCCTAACAAGAGTTGGGGCTGTTCAGCCTGTAGAAGAGGAGGCTCCGGGGTGACCTTATAGTGGTCTTCCAGTGCCTCAAGGGGGCCTACAGGAAAGATGGGGAGAGGCTGTTCAGGAGGGCCAGTTGTGATAGGACAAGGGGTAATGGTTTTAAAATAGAGGGAGGTAGATTCAGATTGGATATTAGGAAAAAATTTTTTACCATGAGAGTGGTAGAACACTGGAACAGGTTGCCCAGAGAGGTGGTGGATGCTCCATCCCTGGAGACATTCAAGGCCAGGTTGGACGAGGCCCTGAGCAACCTGATCTAGTTGGAGATATCCCTGTTCCTTGCAGGGGGGTTGGACTAGATGACCTTTGAAGGTCCCTTCTAGCCCTAACCATTCTATGATTCTATGATTTCAGTTCAGCTGAACATTTCTTGGTAAATATCACTGACTGCCAGAAAGCCCCCAAATGGGTCACACATATTTCTTTAACAGAAGTGGCTGGGCACACTGTGAAAGATGAAATGAAGTGCTCAGAGCCTTTGATTGATGTGTTGGCGATACAAAACGAGAGCTTTATGTGATCACTGCCCCAGTGATTAGCACTGCCCCACTCCTCAGCGTCACTGCTGCTACAGCACGGGCAGCAGAAGAGGAACACAGTCCTTGGTCATCGATTCACGCAAACTGGTATGGATATCAACCTGCCTTAGTATGTTGGTTGCATGCATTAATGACACTCCGAACCCTTTGCTAGACAGGGTAATGTCTGGCAGAGAGGCAAAGCAGACCAGCTCTTAAATAGCCCCAAAATGCATCCCCAGAAGTATAAATGGGAGCCTCAAAAGAGCTTTCGTGTAGTACCACAGCTTTACGTTCAGACAACAAAAAGACACTTAGCAGTAGAGAAAGCACAATTAGCAGAGCAAATATTGCAACAGTAGCTGAGTGTAAATCAGGATTATAGCACACAGACAGATTTACAGCCTCTGGCCATACAAATTTCATGCCTAACAACATGCCCACGCTATGCATTTCTTTGCACGAACACTACGATGACCTCCAAAGGAGATGTTTTGTTTGCTCTGCAACAGCGGGGCTTACAAAACAGCCCCAAATATCTGCCCGTGCACAAAGATGTGATAGTGTGTCCTAATAAGATCTTGCACTTAGATAAAGCTTATGTTGTTATTTTTCCCATGGGAACACATCATTTAACATCTGTTGAACTAGATACTCACGGAAGACTAAATTTGGGAACAAGACGCAAGACTTGAAAATTCTGCTTTTTAAATGTGCAATCCCCAGACACGGTAAGAAAAGGCCAGTGATGACAAATGTGCAGTCAGAGGCGTATGGAGGCTACTGGGCAAGGTGTATGCAGGAAGAAAAAGACATTCGTGCTTTCAGACGCTGACAGGGCCGTAGCACCAGGAGCAAATTTGTCTGGACACATTCCCATAGGGTCAAGGATGAAGAAGTTTCTTGGAGTTTTCTAGTTTTTCTTTTGCCTGGCAACCTCTTCCTTGCAAGTCCCCTTGGATATAGGCAGAGGAAAGAAGACAAATTTCTACCTGCATCGCAGCATTGGATTTGTAAGTGGAAAGCGGAAGAAGGCTTGGTAAGAAACATTACTTTTTATTTCCTTACACTCCTTTGAATTACCAATCCATTAGTGCTGTACAATAAAGTTAATTTCAGCTGTTCTAAACGTTTAACAGATCAGTAAAGGAGTGGGCTTGTTAGGGGTCAAATAGCTAACTATCAGTCAGCTGCTATCCTGCTAACAATACCAGTGAGCTTGGAAAGCCCTGGCCAGCTTCAAAAAGGCCAGAACAACATCCACACCACAGCGAAAACAATGCAACAGAGATTCTCGTATTCAAATGATGGACTCGTCCACTATATAATAATGGAACGTTCCTTTCAAAGTCAGCCACATCTATTTCTTCAAGCCTCACAGACATTGAAAAGTAGCTCTGAGCTACCAGGGCACTTCCCACGCAGGTGCCCTTTGGCAGGCTTACATGTGGAAACCACAGCGTGAAACGGAAAACCTGCTGTGCTCCACCACTGCAGGCAAGACTCCATGTCTTAGGCAGCTAAAAATCCTAACAGCGTATTTTAAAAAAAAAGAGAGAAAAGGAAGGCAGTATGTTGGCATTCAAGGCTACAGGAAGAAGTCGACAGGAAATACTTCCTGTTAACACTGAATCCAAAACACAGCAGCATTTCACGTTGTTGTTTAACTCTTTTTCTTAGAGTTGCAAGCACTTGGTGAAGCTGAACAACTTCTATGAGCTACATGAACTTCTCTGAACTCTTCCACAGTACTCCTGCTCTTGCTCTCTTGAAGGAAATTTCTTTGCTGTCTCTTGATGCTAAACCCACTCACCAGCACCTTTGCACCCTTCATCTTTACCTGATGCTGGTCTGTCCAATTTTCTAAGGTACGTTAGAAATTCAGATGGAATATGGGAAAAATTAACGCTTCTATATTAAAGAAATAGAGACAAACGAAAAAGACATACGCAACTATAATACTTAAAATGAGATCATGACTGGTTTACTAGCTGGGGGCGTGGGTCGCCATAATCAACCATTCAGCTCGCTTTCATTTTAAAAGAACCACCACCAGACCCCCAGACCTACGTTCCAAGAAGTCATGAGAGGGAAAAGAAGGAGAAAAAAACGATTCAGAAAATTAGTGCCAAAAAATACGTCAATTTTTATCTGTTGTATTTTGGAACAAAGGTCAGACATTTTTAATAAGCACCCATGCCGTTTTACTGCAAAATCGACACAGGGATCTGTTCAAGCTGTATAAACTTCAAAAAACACTGAAAGCAAGAAAGGGAGAGACACCAACTGAGATGCTGGAACGAACGTCAGAGGAGGAGAATTTAAACAAACCTGTATCAGCACTCAGTTCATCTAGCAGCCCTCTGGTTCTCCAGGTACATCCTGAGTCTTGATTTCCTAAAGAATTATTGTGCTCTTGAACTACTGCAGCCGCCAACAGATTGTCCACATTTACCACTTCTGAGTCTGAGTTTGTGTCTGATATATCATAATGAGCTACAACTGGAGGTCCATCTGCAGAAGGAGAGAAAAGCAACGGGTATCAGAAATCAGCATACTGTGAAAGACACCTTTACAAGTAAATTTGTTTAAGGATTAATGCAATCTCCTACATGAAGCTCTTAAAAAACTACAAATGACATTAATTATTAAACTTCAGTTAATGAACACAGTCTGAGATTACAGAGACATTTTAACTTTTGCATACACAGAAAACACAAACATAAGAAAAACACGTTTATCAACGTTATCAGTTATTTGTGTATTATCTTTCACATTAACACATAAACATCTCCGTATCTGACGTTACATTTACAATCTTAAAAGGATAAAACCTTCAGTTTGAAATAAAAAAAATAGTAAGTTACAGGACATTAAATTTGGCAAGACATTTATCTAGAGAATTTTACAAAATTCAGGTGACAGCTTACATTAGTTTAGGGTTGATTGAATAAAACTAACTTTTTGATAGAACTGAACCAGTGACAATAAATTTAACATTAGGCAATTTTCCTTATATAAATAACATTTTCCTGTCAAGGACAGGGGAATTTTTCAAAATGGCAATGTTTTTTCATGTTGTTTAAGATCAAGAATTACAAGAAACAAAACTGTAACGTGCAGTGATAAATATGCTTTTACTTCAGTATGATCACCATATGCATTTCTGGCCACCAAAGCGATGGCGTAAAGAGGGGGAGAAATTGTTTGCATGATTCTGAAATCAGTTTTTGAGGAATAACAAAAAGCTAATTTTGATCTGTTTTGTCAGGATGGACTATTTTTGAGAAATGAAAATCACTTATAATTGGAAAGCATACTAGAAACCGAAGAGGCTCAGAAAAAAAGTCAGATTCAAGACAAGTACTAACGTGGAAGCAAAGAGAGAATGGATCAATAATGTAATTCTGAAATGATGCACATTCACATTTAAATTCAAGCACCTTGTCTCAGCTATAGCTTATCAACTCGGAGTGGATGAAAGTGGCTGGAGTTCCCACTCCTCGAATGGCAGAACAAAAACTTTGTTTGTTTTTTGAAAGGCTTCGTCCACAAAAATGAGTATGAAATAGGAAAAACAGACTGGGCCAAAGCTCAGCAGCTTTGCTACTGCAGTTCTTTAACTCCAAGGAAGTTCAGGCAGTGGAATGTCTGCAGGCCTTTTACTATGATACATAGTGAGTATCATTTGTATGAGATAATGTAAAATAATCATAAACTAATAATATGTTTGGGAAGCTAGGACCTTCAGAGCTACAAAATAATCTTTAAAAGCCACAAAGAATAAGACGAAAAGACTTTTCAGGAAAGATTGGTTTCTTTCAGGAGTGTTAAGTGCTTGCTGAAGACAGAAAGAACATGATGAACTAAAAGTCTAAAATTTAGTTCTCTGAAAAGCTGTTGCTACTGAGGTTCTTGGTGGGTTTTTTTGTTTGTTTTAGTTTTGGTGGTGGTGGTTTTTTTTTGTAACTTGGCCCCTGAAACATAATTTGACCCCCTGTTTTAACAAATGCCTATTTTTGATTAGCAACACACTTCATTAAAGAGTGACCATATTGCCTAAGTCATACTAAAGACCAGTTTTGCAACAAGGTATGAAGAAATTCACAAAATATTTCTGATCAGACCTGCCTCCAAAACAACGATTTCATAAAACAATGTTATATTACAAACTTAAAACAGACCCGACAAAAATAAATGGGTAGTTAAATGCCAATGTATTAAAGACCAAACTGTTTGCAACATGAAACGCTGATGATTATGACTGGAAAAGAAGTCCTGATAATTAACTGAAAGGCAATCTTTGTCTTTTTAAAAGGCAATTACAAAATAATGGAGTACCAAGTTCAGAATTAAGCTGGCTGATGTTCAGTTAATTATTTGTGAAAGCCAATGATTAAATTACATGCAGAAGTTACAACTGGACTGAATCATGACAGGCATGTTTTCTTTCAGTCTTATGATCAGAGTTCAGCATGAACATATATAATGTGATCTGTAAAAAAAACAGTCGAGTGCAGAAGATACGAGGGTCAAGTACAATATTGACTATTTGACCATTTTTTCAATAGGTTATCTAAAATTTTAGGAGCTGTGTATTGTGCCTTCAGGTCTTCGTTACTCTCACTTCTTATTAAGGTCTCCAAAAGTAGAAGCAAAATTTGATTTTAGATAGACGTGTCTGCACAAGTAAAATTATAGTTGGACAAAAGGCACCAATAGTCTCAAGTCAAAATTGTACCACTCCTACATGTATAATCATGCAAAAATGTATAATAAATGTATATACATGCAGAGTGATATTCTCATCACCTACCCATAGAAATAACTTGTGTGAAAGTCTTCATCAGTAGGAAATACAAGCATAAACTTGTTATCTGTAGCTCCACTCTTGTATCTTCCACACTTCCAAACAGCACACCTTATAACTTAGCTCAAATTTAGTATACATCAAACAGACAAAAATATTTTCAATATAATTTACATACTGCAATTATATTTGTCAGTGTAACAGCCACCAATTTAACGATCTGGAAAAAAACAAGCTGCCTATTTACAAAGCAATCACAGCAGAGACCTATTTTTGCTTTTCTCAGCCTTGCCTTTCAGGATCAGATTTTGAAATGAAAGGCCCCTGACACCAGGGTTACCCATACCTATCACTGGTAAACAACCAATGAGGCCAAGACAATGGTGACAGTGCTGCAACAAATCCTAGGACTCTCAGCATGTATAAAAGAAGAAATGAGCAAAAAAGGCCTAATAAGTGTGTTAAAAAAAAACCAACACAACAAATGAACCAGTGAGTAAGTTGTAGACAACTACAACTAGATGAAAGTTGCAGTGAAGGAGTACAAAAGAAATCCTCAAAAAATCCTTCATATCTCCAAAAGCCTGTTTCCTTTTCAGTGCTACAAGGATGGGACAGGAGAGGTTAAATTTGGAAATAAATAATACTTTCCCAGCCAGCTACATGACCATCCGGTGATGTGATGATGCATAATGAATGTGTGCTTCCAAGAAAAAAGGACAAATAGCTTCAGCTAGGAAATAAGTGCAAAAATGCTTTCAGGTGGAAAAGGTGAAAGGATTAACTACAACCATAGCTGTAACTTATCATCTTTTCTTTACAATAGAGCCACTCCTCCTAATTACTGACTGTACCAGGATTTCGACAGGGAGAAAAACAGACACCAAAACAAACCATGCCAGAATCAAAATTTAATGTAGCACAATTAGGAGGTTTCCCGATCAGTAATTTAAACAATCTATTTAAGAAAAATCACATCTTTTTGAGAAGCCAAGGTAGCTGGAAGACTTACATTTCCCTGGTAATAAGCTTTAATTCGTTTCTAAAGCAATAACTGCTTGAAAAAGACAAGGCTGAAGGTTAATAAGTATCAGCAGCAAAATACAGCTGCTGACATTTAATGTTAACAGGGGAAGGGAAAGACTGTTTTTGGTGGTTTTTTTTAAAAAAAAAAGGAATTCAGAGGCAGAGGTCATCATGGGGACAGCATTTCCAAGTGTCCAATTCTCCCTTAATTTACAGAGCTCATCAAAACTAGTTCCACTCAGGACAACGGACTCGGAAGCCGCATGCCACAAAAATCCAGGGACACATATATCAATTTTTATTTGAAGCTTGCAATACAGAATTCAATGACTTCTTACTTGCTAGCCACTCTCATGCTTTTCAGAGAACCGTATCTCGACATTCAGTGGCCTAGCCTGTGCGTAAGATCCACACTCCTGTTATCCCTTAATTCGTTATAACGGCAGCATACGCAAAAAGGGGGAATCAACCGTAAATTTCAGCTGTAGGTTAAAAGCACCAATCCTGGAGGAAGCACTGTGCCTTTGTGCTGAAACAGCTGTGTACGAACGCACAGCAGTACCTCATCATAGGAAACAGAAGATAATAGCTAAATCAACCTGGATGGGGAATCTAGTCCTTTAAATCATTATCTCTCCGTAGCTTAAATTTAGGCATGGAGGCCCAGTTTGCCACTTAAACTGCCTCCTACTGTAGCCAGAGAATGGAACTTCAGGGTCAAGTAATCTCAGCCTGGAGCATCACCTCCCCTCTTTCCCCAGAACACAGAAAGAGCCGAGACAACGCCTTGGACAAGGCACCTAACTTTTACACTGCTGAGGTTCAGCAAGAAGAATTCCAGCCTTAGGGATGAGATTTAAACTTTGCTACATTTTCTCTACAAGTAGTGGAAAAAAGACTGAAATCTCCAGAGGACTACCCTGATGGAAAAAGTTTCAAAATTAAAAGCCTCATTTTGGTGGTCTGAATCACCCTCTGGAGTCATCAGTGTCCTTGCAATGCCGAGACGTGGAATCTTATTTAGGTGTATCACCCTAAGCTTTAAAACACACAGAAATAGCAACAATAATTACAGTACTTGATTCTTAGAAAAAGCTTTCCATGAGTAGATCTCAAAGAACTCTGAGGTGGTTATTAACATCCTTATACCTAGAGGGGAAACTGAGGCAAGCAGAGATTTGCAGCTTGCTCAAGGCTAACAAGCCGGGGAGTTCAGCGCCGCCGAAAACAACACTCCTCTCGAATTACTGAGCTATTTTTAACTGGTAAATTATTTAGGAGTTTAAAAATAGTGTTTAGGAACGCTTTCGTGAAACATGCAAAAGCTAAAAAGGCAACACACGGAGGCACCCAGGTACTCGCAAGCCCAAGGAGACACGGCTTCTTCCAGCCTCACCTCTGCATCTTGACTGCAAATACAGGCACCGCTTTGTCTCTCAGTCTCAGCACTCTGAATTAAATTGCTTTTTTTATATATATGTATGTATGTAACAGAAGAGAATACTGAGATTTTAAAGATCGAAGAACACCCTTATTTACACTTGACACTTAATAACTCCACTTACTTCAAGATTAAGCAAAATATAGAAAGGACTTTAATGCCTATATAAATTTTATGATTAGATGATCACTGCAGTAATCAAAATAATCAAATCTGTGTGCCAAAATCTAGACGATT